GGAGATGCCCAGATAAATCCATTGGTATCATGTTAAATTGGCGAGGGCAAAATACACATGGAAACAGGGTACACCAGCTTAGGGGAAGTAGGAGTATTATCAATGAAAAAAGTGCAGATTGCTTTAATTAAGCTAATGAACACTGTTGATCCGAGTGCTCTTTTCCTCAAAAATTAAAAAGACTGCAATCCAAACAAAAAACAGAATCATACATTTTAATTCAGCACACAAAAACAAAAAAAAAAGTCAGTGGCACTCACAGTTCAGTAACTTATCTTCCACTCCACCGCCTGATCACACATCTCAAATATTTCACTGTCCAACTGGTAAGCTATGCTGTCTGTCTGGCCTGCAGCGCAAAGGCCAGCACGCAATCCTTTGGCAGCTGAACACAACAGAAGATTATTGGCCACGCGAGCAGCCAGCTACAAGACAGAGTTAATATATTATTATTTCCTAAACTAGCAAGTTGAGATTATACAACCCATTTCCACACAACACCCAACGCTCCCATAAAGTTCCACTAGTTTTAAATTAATAAAAAGCAATAAAAAGTCATCCTTGTTTAAAAGTAAACATTGAGCCAGCTGCATTTTGTTTTTTTCCTGGTAGCTTACACCTCCAAGCTTGCACATGAATTTGCTTTCTCCCCAGTAAAAGTTTCCTAACTAACCACCATCCAACCTCTGCTGTCCCATTCCAAAGTAGCCATGGCAGTACCGCACTGTTCATTCCAGAGGGAAGCTGACAGCCAAAGTTACAAGTAATTCCGTCCTTTTTCCTCCTCCTCAATCAAAAAAAAAAGCCTGACAAGTCCATGTGGACTGCAGTGAGTCTCCTACAACCACAACGCCCGATCACAGCACATTTATAGCTATGAAATCAGGCCCAAGGCAAACAAACTGGCTGGATGAGGATCTCTGATGCTTCTGTTTTCCAGCTGGCCAAACCCATGTGTTTTGACAACACAGAAAGTGTGATCTAGGAGCAAAACACAGCCCCAGCACGTAAGCCAGCCACTTGCTTATTGCTTCTGAGCTAGAATTAGGTCTTGCTGTGGCTATTGGGGCAATGACGCTCTGCAACCTAATTGCAAGCGCTTTGTTTGTTCCAAAAGGCTTCTGCCAAGAGAGTATTCCTACCCCTGACAAGTTGTTTTCCATCTTCCTCAGCACTTTCCACCCATCTGGGATCAAGAAATAAAGCCAATTGTCCCCAAGATTTTCTACAGAGCAAACAGGACGAGGACACGTCAGCACCAGAAATTTATCACCATCTGCAAGGCACCACCACACATTATCCCTGTCAACAGCTCACAGAAATATCCCAACAAGCTGGATAACTAGGGTTCAGGAAACAAGCAGGGTAGGCACTGAGACGTACTGCGCAGGGGGGTGGTACAGCACGTACCAAAAGTGAACAAGTACAGCAAAATACTGTACCGTTAGCACTGCTTCCCACAGGTACCACGAGGAAGGCAAGACCAGGGCTGCGGTCACATCCCCCTCGGCCACGGGCGATGCTCAGATCCAAATTGCCTGCCACTAAGTCTGGCTGCACTCCTCTTGTTCGTTCCCATCTCCCGAAGCTTTTAGAGCTGCAAGTTATGACTCCTCATCATGTTATTCTGCTTTTCTCTGAAAGCACTGATGTAGTCATGCACAAAGGAACCAACAAAGGCACAGGAGCACCCAGAGCATTTATGCCAGTCTCTTCAAATTCGCCGTCTTGACAGCTTTCCCCACCCAAAGCCAAATGAGAGGGAATTTTCTTCTAAAATGCCACAAAAGCCTGCCAGGCTTTGAGGAGCAGAAGGTGAGAAGAGAAGGCAGAGGAGGAGTATTAATACAAAATTTGATATTTTCATTGCCTTTGCTCTAGACAGAATAAAGCCACAGTGTATCAGCAGTTTTGCCCTTTAATCGGGACTAGCACATTCTGACATTTTGAGGCCAATCAGGTACGCCATAAATAGAAAGATGCTACTACAGGGATAGAGCTGAGCTGTGAAAAGTTCCTGCAGGTCATCAAGCCTCTGCAAAGCCCTTCTCTCCAGCCAGCCAAGCAGGTCTCGCCTTCAGAAGGGAGACCCTTAACACTGCCACTAAAAAGATTCAGAAGGGACAAGCTACAAGCAGAAGAACAGTTTTAGCCTGGAGAACAGCAGATGCACAACCTGCGCCAACAGCCAACCAACAGGTCCTCACCCAAGTCACAAAGCAGACCTGTATTCAGCACCGAGCAAAACTCCTGCCATCTGCTATCCATGGGTTTGCGCTCCCCAGCAGACTCCTGACATCAAGGGGAATTTAAGCTGCAGGTAACAACTACTAAAAGCATTTTATGACACAGCAGTGGAACGTATCTACACCACCTTTACACACTCAGCCAACTCAACACAACAGGTTACAGGGAGGAGACCGGCTACAGAGTCAGCGTCTGTACTTACGAGACAGTGGCTCGGGTCTCAGGCCAAGTGCTTGTAGTGCATTCAATACAGTCTAGATTTTCAATCTTACTTAAAAAACTTACTTAAAAAAGCAAAAACTATTAAAAGTCAGTTATGTAAAACTTCATGATTTTTATTTTTTTGGGTGAGTGGGGACATTGAAAGAAGGAGGAATCCACATCAGAACTATGGATCCATTTGCAGCTGAAGCAGAGCTGGTTTTAAGGACAAGTGACTGAAACAGTTGCTCACAGAGACCTCTCTCACTCCTTTAGGCTGTTAGGGAGAATACAAAGCAGCCAACATACTAGCTGCACCAGCCTAACAGCAAGCTCCAAGATAAACTGGCCGCCCAGATGCCGAACAGACTCCTAACGTCTTTAGGTATCCCAGAAATCTGCATCATCAAGCTGGAAATCTGTCTGCAAGATTAAGCACATGCTCTCCTTCTGCAGACAGCTCGGCAGCTGCAGCAAAAGGCTGAGATGCCCGGTGTTAGCTTCAGCTCACCTCTCTGCCCACACACCAAGGCTCAGAGAACTGCCACCCTTCCCCTCTCCCAGCCCTGCGTGATGGGGTGAGATCTGAGTCAACTCTTCCCTCTGCCGACAGGAACACCTCTAACAGGCTGCTCAGAAACAACCTACTTTTCATAGCTTATTCACTAGAACAGTAATAGCACTTCAGATCCTCACCTCTAACACTGAGGCAGGTGTTCCACTGCTCACAAAGCAGTAGGAAACAAAGAAAAAAGTGCCCCAAATCACCTTCAAATTCCCACAGGTTTGTAAAACTATATCCAAAGAGACAGGAATTAATCCTGTGAGTGACGTGACCTTCTGCTCAAAGTCTCTGCTGGAGACTCGGTTCTCACACAGCTTGAGGGAACGCTCAAGAGGCAGAAATGGCAAAAAGCCCTTGAGAGAATGAGAATAAAAGCTGCTCACAGTCAGTGAAACTAGGCAGTGACTGAAACTTCTCCATAGAAGGGGCCTGAATCCTCCCAGCACAACACATGTACAGGCACATTTACAAACCAAAACCTGAAGAAGATGTAAAGAGTTTTGTTAGACACTGATCCAGCTGGTAGCGGGAAGAGAACAAACCTGGAGTTTATCATCACAGCCAGAAAGCCACTGCAACAAAGGATGTATCTTGCCTGTAACCAAGAGCTTCCTTACAATCAGCTCTCTTCTCTCCACACAAGGGTCCCCATCATCTCTTCCTACACAGGATTAATAACACGCGCTGATGCAAATGCTGATGGTTTATAGCACAACTCACAGTCTGTAGATTAGCACTGGCCAGGATTTTCCTGCATAGGACAGTCTATGGGGAATCTGCTTCCTCGCCTGCAGCCCACATTTCCCAGTGGAGCTCAGATCTGCCAGAACACAGGTATCATGGAAAGAAATTAAGCCCAGGAGCTTTCTGTGGAAGCAGCAATCATATGGGATGAAACAAGTGCAACTAGAAAGGGAACAGAAGACTCCTGTGAGTGGAGCAGCAGCACCCACCTGTCAGCACCAACCGTAAAAGGCGCCAGAACAAGCCACGGCAATATTAGGAGAATCCCTCGTCGCTCCTTCAGACTGTGTAGGGCAACCTGATACAAGAATAACACGTGACTGGGGTCACATCAGTACCAGCAACACATGGCACCTTCTGCTGCCCATCACAGACAAGAGTCAGTAGGCTGCATTTGGGTTTATTTCACAGTTAGTTTTCTTTTTTCTCCTCCCTTTACATGTTCGGGCCCAGTTTAAAAGATCTGAGGTGAACCTTTCAGGTACGAAACCAGTTCTGAATGCACCAGCTTCTGCAATTTACACTCATTTCCAGTTTCGTACCCAGCTCCTATAATAAAGAAGAATCATCTCCTCTACGCTCAGGGAAACACCCAAGACCTTGAGCCCCAGGGACAGAACATCCACGAAGCTCCAGAAGCCAGGGTAACACTACACACACTGTCATTTACAGTGGGAATCCTCCCCTTGCTGCCAAGCTGAAAGAATTTCTCAAAAGGAAACCACCCACTCCAATTACTAAGCCAAGGATGCAGGTATTACACCAGCCTCTCTTGACAACGCTGCACCCAGAGAAAGGTTTCTGGAGAGGAGGACGTGCTTTGTCACTGCTGACGGAATTTATCTTTAAGCAGCCAGCCAGTCTGCAGCGGGGGACTACACAGGTTTTCAGGAGGGTAAAGCAAGTCTCCCAGGAGGATAGATTGGCCTACAGTGCAGCAAGGCTTAAATGAGCCCCTTCCCTGAAGAAGAGCTCTTTCCACGGGAGAATGCTAATGGTCAAAGCAGAGGGCTTGCGTCCATCCAGTCAATTAGATGTTCTTCTGATCCAGCTCTGACCTCGAGTTATTTTTGTTCCAATACGTTCTTTTTGCAATAACAAAGGTCTATTTCCTCCTCTGCAGGATCCCTTCAGCTATACAAAGCTATGTTACAGACTGGGTAACAAGGACTGCTAGGGAGCAGTGTGGGGTGGCAGGGAGGAAAGGGCAGTCATGGATATTTTAACCGGGATGTGTACATTTGGGGTAAAAAGGCTTCATTAAAAGTGCATGCTTTTATTCAGAGGTACCGAGAGCAAGGAATCCCCATCCCAGCCCTGGCTGGGGAGTGCAGCAGCCTTTGCAACCCCTAGCCCTGTCCATCACCAATCACCCGTCAAGTAGCCAGTGACTGAATGTTCTTCAGCATTTCATCAAAAGCCTCACGGGAAGGCGCTTCGGCATTCTGGAAGGAGACCTTGATCCGGCTGTAGAGACTGAAGGACTTCAGCTCCAGCCAGATGAATCCAAAGCGATCGTCATCAAAGAGAACAAAAACACCTGGTGTTCGCTCGGGGCTGGTGAAGCCATGGCCAGCAATAAGCCCCGTCCCATAAAAACTGCAAGGAGAGAAGAATAGCAAAAAAGATGGGAGAACAGCCATAATTAGCCAACGTTTAATAAAAAAATTAAAAAAAAACCCCAAACACAAAACTATGCTCAAGCCATTGTCAAACACACTGCCAGGTGCCTCAGAACAGGGAGTTTTACATTCAGTCAGCTCTTATCACACAGCACAAAACACCGTTGATACCATTTTAAGAAAAGAAACTCGCCATTGCTATTTGGAGGTTGCTGCTTTTGGCTATTCTAATTATCATCTGCACACCAAGGCTGAATTTTTCTATAGTTCAGCCCAGTAATCAATCGGAGATTTACTTCTGCAACTCAAGGATCAACACAGGCCCAGACAATCTTCACAGAAAAGGAAAGGCATGTTGAGAGGGTGACCAGAGAGGCAAACCTTGTGAGAAAACCCAGGGGAAGGGAGAGAAAGAAAAAATCTGGGAAAAAAAAAAAGAAAAATCTAACTGGAGCTGGGGAGGAGTAAAGGCCAGCCTAACCTCCAAGCAAGCAGCAGGTGGAGCAGGGTTTTATTCAAACACAACTCGGTTGTGACAGCAGGGGCCTTCTGGGATTAACCAGCTATTGGTAGGTTTTTCCATAAGCACAGATGTTTGGCTGAAGGTCACCTGCCTAAGCCTCAGCTTTTGGAATCTTTTTCCACACTTCATTTAGCGTGCTGCTTCACCGACTCCAGGTCCCATTCAACAAGGCTCTCTGCATACTTGCATCTACTGCTTAGGGTGCTCAGTACCTTCCAGAGCTGGCCCCAAGGCACCAGAGGCCAGGGAGGGGTGGGAGAGAGCACTGCATTCCCATAGCCAAGGAACACAAATGACACACACAGAAACAGGAAGCGGCTTGAACAGATCTCCAAATATACTAGCTGGGCAGCTCTAGGAAAACACAGAAAAAAAAAAGGGGGGGGTGGTGGAATACGGGAGAGGTACTAGCTTTAGAATTAACAGGATAAAATCTAGTAAGGAAGCAGGATGGCAGATGACAGTGTGGTAAGAAAAAGAGGGAGCAAACGAGAGCGTGGGAGAAAGGGCAGCAGCGGCAGAAAACCTGAGCACAAGGGGCTGGGAGATCTGCATGCAGTTGAAGGGCAAGCAAATACAGAACACGCCTCAAAGACTCCCCACTTCCGTTTCAAAAAGTGGCTGGCATGGCTAGGCTATAAAACCACCAGCGCCCGTTACCAAATTCGGCAGGTCCGGGGATAGTCTTCATTCCTCGATACGACTCCCATGGGCAGCACGAAGGGGTGGGAAGCTGGTGCCTTGTCCTGGGTTGTCCCCTCTGCCCCAGCTGCAGTCTCTTCCCCCTCGGCACCTTCTCCTCCCAGGGGCTTCGCAGCAGGCTGGGAGGCAGCCTGCTGGGAGCAGTCCTCTTCCTCCTGACGGTGTTCCTGCTCCTGCTCCTCTCGACGCACTTGCTCCTGGACCTCCAGGACGATGCGAGAAAGCTCACTGAAATCGCGAAGGTTCTCTATGTCGGGTAGCTGCAGAGGATGTGCCAGGTCAATCTCCACAGTCTGCTGCCCAGCTGGGATGTTGGGATCTCCCTAAAGACAGGAAGCAACAGGGTGCTACAGAGATCAGACCTGTATCCTCCCCATGTCTATCATCTGACTTCTACATAGTTCACCCTATTCTACAATCACCAAGTTGGCAACAATAAAAACCCCTCGGACCTTGTTCATTGTTCCCTGAGCTGTCTACATCACCTCTGCTTTCCCTCTCCCAGAAACAGAATTTTAAATCAAAAGCTAGGAGCCAGGCTGTACTTGCAAGGGTGAAAGAAAGTCAAAGCTGCAACTGCTTTTTGTCAGAATCTCTCCCTGCAGAGACAAAGGAGCTCACTAGCCTGGCTTCAGTGAAGAGCTGCCAGTATTTGGTACCCGCTCCTCGGATACATGCGACTGATCTCCAGTGACCTGCTACCAGCTGCTCACAGAAAGCAGCTGGAAGGGAGAAAAAAGGAAGGAGGAGCCAGGTGGCGTCATGACAAACTTTGCAGAGCAGGTACTAGCTACTCTGCACATGTTAAGATTCACCCAATGCCACCAATCCCCACAAGGAACAGGGTCTGGGGTGGCAACAACTGACTACCTCCCAGACAGAGATCCATGGCATCAAGAAGAAAATACTTTAACAAGCATCTGAGTCAAAGGAAAATGCACTCACAGTGATTTTAGTCCCCTTCGCTTTCTTTCCGTGAAAGCTCAACATGACAATCTCCAGCCCATGGCTCCCGTATGTTCCCTTGAAGAGACCTGGCTTTATAAGGTCATCAGGGCTGCTAGGAGGGAGGTAGATGCGTCGGTATGTCAAGCAGTTGCTGTGCAAAAACCAAAAGGTTAGAGAGGGTAAGAGAGAATCCCTCGACACAAAGAATGTGTTTGTAGTCTGCTCATCCAGGCAGTTTTGGGATGTCATCAAGAGACAGGAGGGATCTGTGTTTTCAGCAATACCAACAAGCTTAACATTTTCTTTAGTCCTATGGAAGCACTCCCTCCCTTTACTTCTCTCTACCAGCCCTTGTTAGCACACCAGGAGGCTCCTGCAGCAAGGTCACAGTAAACCTCCTCACTCCCTGAGATTTCTGGAGAACCTAAGAGTGAAGCATATTTAAACACCTGCTACAGCGAGGTGGCTGCTATTAGAAGTTTGGAGTGACGGTTAAAAAAATCTCCCAAGTTCTCAGGGACTGTCTGATGTCTGCCCAGCACGCTACAAAGCATATTGCTTACTAATATGGATAATACGCAGATAGCTCCTTGGGATCACGGGTATTTGCTCTGTCTTCAAATTAAACACAGTTAAATGACTCAAAACCATCTTACTGTGCATAGGTATTGTAAAGAACTTGGAACCTTATTACTACTGCTGTCATTACATCTCATGTCTCTGTACAACTGGAAAGCACTGTGCTTCACCGTATCTTTGCACAGAGCCTGCAGAGACAGAACATTCCTCTGGCTGTTAAAGCCCATTGCAGGCACCCCATTGTTGGAACAAATCATCCAATGTGCTCTTGAAGTTGCAGCAGCCTCAATACCTAGAAAGAGCTGGTGCTCTTACTCATATTGGCTGGTGTAGATGAACTTCATCAAGATGAGTTCTTGCATGTGTTCATGGAAGATGTCTTCCAGAGTCCGACCCCATTCTTCCCTTAGCCACGTCCGGAATTCCTGCAGCACAAGAAGAAGAGAAAAGGGGGAAGATAAAGGCATTTCAATTGCGACAGTGATGTACCCCAATATGACTTTGCCTCGTCAGCATGATTCACTGGCAGAGCCACAGAGAGGGCATATGGTCTGCCAAAGATTTGGGAACAAGCACATGTTACTACAGAGCTGGCTTGGAAATATCCTTAACAAGTAGTGATAATGGTAACTGCCCTATACTTGCCAGACTCCACACAATAAACATGCTTCCTTTCAAATCAATCACAGGTAGAACCAATATGCCTTCTCAGAATAAAAGCGTAAGCATCACTTGTTACTGCAAAGTAGCTGACCTACTACTTCTTTATGTCCTGACTTACCTCACAGTAACTCATTTGTGTGCCCATAAGCTGACTCCTGTGCCCTATCCTGGCATGTTAAACATAAAAGGGGAAGCTTTTGAAAGGCACTGAAGATGTAGGAAGTTAAATCCTGCTGATTTAATACTGATGCATCTAAATCCAGAGGGTGCTTTGAAAACTCCTGAAGTATCTCTACACCAGCTCCGACAAGTTAATACCCTACCATGAGTTACCATGATAACAGCTTACACTAAGATTGCAGCCTACCAAGTGATATTACAAACCTGCTTTCTTTATCTTCTAAAGCCAGATCCTCCAATTACCATAATGCCATGCACACTTAACGCAGTGCTTTGAAAGTATTAAAGCATTTCTCATCTGCTACAGAACCAGAAAACACTTAACTAAACCTTTCACCCAGCTGTTTCCCATTAGTAGACAGGCATTTTAAAGCATTTATTAGAAGCAACTGAAGTATCAGATTTGTCACATTTAACTAACTGGCAGCAAACACCACTACCTGGAACAGGTATTAGCTGAAGGTTTTCATCCTGACATTTATACCTGCACCTTAAAACATGTAGTTTGAGTTGGGAATCTGCCTTGCTGGGTATAGCCGACACAGACACAGGATAAGCAACCAAATGAAGCTTCTAATCCCTCAACCAAGATGACAAGCAGTAGAAAGGTGCCCCACTGACAAGCAGGTATTCAGATGCAGCTGCTACTCAGTATTAGGCCTGTGTCTGAAAGATCTTAAGTACACAGACAGCAATACCAAGAGATCAGTGTCTGGCAAGTGCTGCATGGCATACAATGCATATTGCTGTCTTCCTTCGGACAGGCCTGCTATCAAACAGGAATGGTGTCACAGCACAGGAAGAAAAAGAGTGCTGGCGCTCAAAGAGCACCTTGCCACACAGAACAAAAAACAGCTTTTTGCTCAACAGGATGGACGTAACAGCCTGCTCCAACACCCTGCTACGCACTGAGGTAAGGCACAAGGTCTCCACCCAGACATTCTGCAGGTGTAACACTGAATTGATCCCATACACTGGATCCTTAAACCACACCTTGGCAAGTACAGAAGAGGTTCCCCAAGATCCTGCAATTATTCAAATGTGGACACTTCAAGTTTTGATTCAAGTTTTGATCAATTCTACTCACTTAAAAAAGATCGTAGTAAATCAGCCAGAAGCCACCAGCCTGGGTTTTCATGTATGTTCAGATATACAGAAATTAGAAGGCAGAAGACCACCTTCCAGACCCCAACATTAGCCAAGAGCTTAGGTAAGAGAGCAATACTTTATCTTCAGAAAGGAGACATACAAGCAGCCTTAATGCAGACTCTTGGCAAAGCACTCTTACCTCTTGCCTTCCACCTGACATCCGATGGTGATCTGTCTGGTTGCATTTCGTGGAGAACTCATCCTTCTTTACAATCTGTAGTTACCATGGAGGAGAATTTAATAGGTTACAGACCTGTTTAGAGATGCCTACGATCATGTAACTAAGACTGCTTAGAGTAAATGCTTTACACAATAAGCATTACTGAATTTGCTAAAACAGAGAAATCAAAGTGATACCAACTGCATCAGCTACAGAACAGAGGAACAAAAGCAATAAAACCCCAATGCATTCTAATGGAAGATACTAGTTTTAAGTTGCTTCTCTATTTGAGCTTCCTTCTTCAAATAAAAGGAAACAACCTCTCAGGAAGCTTTTCAAAGCATCCAATGTACTGAATGGATGCTACATCACCTTCCCAAGGTCTCATCTTAGAGAGAGCTGTAAAACAGAACAGGTCTGTGTGTCTGCTTGGACACATTCACCAGCTGCACAAGGCCATTTTGTGTATCGTTTCCCCAGCCTGTACACACACTGGTGCTTCCACCCTCCCACCCTGCTCCAGCCCAACAGAAGACAGTGTAACAGCCTTGCTGTACTATTGCCAGTGAACAAATTCAGAGCGGGGAACAGCCCACACAACTTGTCAGACACATAATAAGTGTAAAGCTGGCATCCACACATACAACAAGGTGGTGAAAGCCACATCCCTTAAATAAAATTCTCACACAGTTTTTTATGAATCCACTTCCAGAGCGAATGTGCATGCACGCACACGCACATTGCACCTAGGGCAGATGCTTAAAGTGCTAGAGGAACCCACCTGGATATGGCCGTTATGAGGTCCCTTATGACCATACATGCACTCAACCGTTGCACATTTCCTCTCCATGAGATGAATCCTGAAGAGAGGTTTGAATCTCATGGGATCATCAACATGAGGGTCATGAGGTGGCAAGTACATCCACCCAATGATGAACAAACCGTCTACCTGCAGAGGGATGGGAGACAAAGCATACAAGATCAGCCTTGCACGCTTGCAGCAAACAACTCCGGGGCCTATTCTGCAACAGGGTAGGAGCTGTAGAACAGCTTGCTGCATTTCCAAACTGCTTTCCAGCAATTAAACCAGACCATATGCACTCACAGCACACCCTTGGTGAAGAGGGAGAGGGTTTCTTTACGAGGCTTTCTGCACCACTGGAAAATGATCAGGCCTTTATTACTACAAACAACTTTGTGACGGATGCTTGGTGTGCAGGATCCAGAGGGAGAAACTGCACTGAAGAGACCACACAGCTAGTCAAACTCTAATTGGTTTGAGAGCTCCTGCTGACAGATACTCGAATAGACGAATTCTGCTTCTCATGATTATCTGCGCCTTTTGGACAAGGAATTATTTGGCTCTACTACTCACAGACAGCACAGGAAGCAACAATCTCCTCTGCTGAGAGGTACGAGTGCCAGCCCTCTTCCTGCATGCCTAACAGAATCCTTCCCCACAAGCCCTGCAACTCCAGAGAACGGATATTTTTTAAACAGAGAGATCTGAGACAAAAGCAGAGCAGCGCCACAGAGGCACGCTTGTCTTTATAAGGTCACAATATCATGTAAGTATTGGTGCACTTGGATGCACTCATACCAGTTCATGGAACAGAATCTTGCAAAACCCAAAGGCCTCGTGATTTGTTACGCTTCAACCTGTCAGCTATTGAACCTTGGTGCAAAGAACAAGGGCTTCAGGCAAACTTCTGGCCCAGCTCTCACCAATGCAAAGTCAAGCGTTGTTCATTAACTGCTCTCCCCAGCAGCACAAGAGCTGCCAGACTCCGCACGTCTTGCGCCAGTCATGCACCAGTATCACTACATCTGATGCATTAGTCTTAGACATCGCTGGTGAAAAGCATGGCAAACTACAGGAAGGAGATGCATGAAAACAAGTGCAAAATCCTTTGCAAAACGTTCAACTGCAGGCCAAGATAATGCAGTAAGTGACGGGCCAGTGCTGAAACCTCTGCTGTACTCAATGCAAAAGGAATAGACTCCCGTGCCAGCCACTGGAGTATCAGCATTAAACTCTAAATCAAGCGTTTCCCTGAAACATTGGTCATGTTTTCTGTGTGGTCCTGTGGCTGTTTGGAGTACAGCTGAAAAACAAAAGGACTGTCTGGAAAAAGATGGTTATGATGAAAAGATCCAAGAAGCAACCTCTGGTCCCAATCACTTGCTTGAGGGTTGACTGTTCAGACTTCTCAACAGCACAGAGACGGCAACCAGGTCTCGAAAGCAGTATACAAAAGACTCACCACAGCCCCCAGAATGAGGTACTCACTCACCACCACGTTCAGCAGTCCTCCATAGGGCCCAATGTCCGGCTGCCATAATCCCAGGATGTGTCGGTACCGGTGCAGCACTAGGGAACAGTGAGACACTGAAGTGAGCACATCAAGCTAAGGAACTGGGATTTTGGGAAAAGAAAGAAGAAGGAAGACTGCTACCAGACTGCACACAACACTGACCACCCACAACTGCCTTTACTAAGGAAGGGAAAGCTGGTTACACCCAACCACAGCCAGGCAGTTCTGAACTGAGGCCTCCCACAAGCTCACACAGATTTATGTTGTTCTCTGCAGCCCTGTTCCTGGCCCGGTGCAGGGACAAGGAGCTGGTTTCCAGGACTTTACAGAATCAGACACCTCACCAGGAATTCTCAGAAAACTTTTGCAACATGGTCCTGTTAATGCAAATCACATGATATACCCAGAGCTAAAAACAACCAAAGTATCTGCCATCTCCAGTTACCAAAAATGTACTTGATGCCTCAGACTGCAAAGCAACAGAAAATAAGGAAGGGCAGAAAGGCAGTAAGGAACAGGGAAATTTGAATATTTTGAAAGAATTTCCCTACCTTGTAGAGACAAACTTGTCTCCAGGGTTAAGCGTCCTTAAAAACAGCCACCGAGAGAGTACGGGCAAAGCGCACAGACCATGCCAGCTCAGCAGATCTGGTGGTGTTACCAGCTCAGTAACGGCTTTAAAAATTCTAAGTAAGCAGCTATATTTCAGCAGTGCCCAAAAGCTGCTTCAAAGTCCCCCTCAAAGCCTACTGCAGCAGGTGAGGCTTCTCCGTTTCTCCGGAGAGAGAAGAAACTCCGTTTCTCATCTCGGAGCTAGCTGCACTTTCAATCCCACCAAAACTGAAGGACAAGTAGGAACGTTTTCAGCAAGCAGGAGAAAATGCCTATTACAGAATGATCTTAACAAACCTCCTCTCTTGAGGAAAGCTTAGAGATGCTACTTGCCTCCAGAACTTACACAGTCAGCCATTAATTTTGACCATATAATTTCCTGACATGACCAGCAACCTTTGCGTGAAGACATTACACACAATCTGGCATTTTGGGAAGGAACAACAGGATGCTGATTATTTCTATGAAGATGGCAAGAAGATCCTACACTTGCTTTACAAGGATATTCATGGCCAACTCAGAAGGCCGCAATAACCCGTTTTGACCTACAGGACTGGCTTGAATAATGCTTTGCATCAATTTATAGGAAGAATTGTGTTTCAGTGCAGCTGTTACAACAGCTTTGTTTCATTAACTACTTAAGATAGCAAGAACTATGGGAGTGTTTTTATTACACCAAAGCAGAGAACTTCCACAGAGGTTTAGGACAGCAGGGAGGGTTGTCCAGAGCTGCTGCCAACTGCCCTGGAGGAGCCTTTTTCCTGTGCAGTAAACAATTTAAGATTGATGGCCTAGTTTCACCCAGTGAACCGAGTGCAGCACAAACAGCATTAAGGCAAGCAAGCAAACCACATTCCCAGTCCTCTTGTCTCAGTGCAGTAATTACATATTAATAAATGGTATGCGCATAAGCCGCTCCACCCACCACAATCTGCCTTCTACCCTGCCTGGCATGGAGCTGATAAAACCCAGCTTTTTTATTATTTTTAAAACAGAAAACTTGATGCTAAGCTATCCAAGAGTGATGAGGATGTCTCTCCTCCCTCAGCTCCTGTCAGAAGCACTTTCAGAGCTGTAGCTACAACCAATGGACTTTCCAACAGCACAGAAAGTGTCTGCTTGACAAGGTAAGCCCTTCCACTCCAAGACACATGCCTGTCGAGGGCAGTTTGTGTGCTCACTTTGAGTGAACAGCCAGCTCCAGCTGCAACTCGGTTCGCCAGGAGCCGTGGCAGTTCAGGAAACCTGGCTGTCACAGACAGAGCTTGCTTCACCATCTGCCCCGACCACCCGGAAACCTGGGGCTACAAAGGAGGGAGGAGGCCAAAAAATCCGATTCACCTCCAGAAGAATCCTACCCACTGGATAGTAGCTTCTGTGCTTAGCTTGCACCACTAGTATGGGCAACTCTTCTTTCTTAGTTTTTTAAAAACCCAGCTGTTTGGCACCACAGAAGTCTCTAGATGAGCTGATGGGAAACAAGCTGCAGTGTGAGCAGTGCTTCACCCAGCCTCACCCTCCCTACACACCAACGCCCACGGCAGGGACACTTTAACGGACATGTCGTCTCCCTTACTTGCTCAGGGTGCTGTGGACTCCTTCTCCTGTTCTTTCAGGAAAGGAATTTACTGAGGAAAATGCTGGTACTTGGCCAAAGGCCCAAACAAGTCTCCAAGCAAAAGCACAGCTCCATTTTCAGGTCAGGGGTGTCTCTGGGCTCCAGTGAGCCAGCAGCTATATTCATTGCAGGGAAAACCTGATGAATTCCAGCTCTGGCTCTCCCTGGTGGGAGACAGGATGGATCTGACAGTTGTTTCCCTCCCTGCTTCTCAAAAGAAAACAGCACTTGGGTCTTTCTCCAAGGTTTTCCTTTGCTATGCACACTGCCTGTTTTTCTCAATCCTGAAGAAGCCTCTTGTCTACCCGAATTTCTGAGCCCACACCCTGCAAAAATACATCCACTGGACGCTTCAGTACAACCCCCACCCAACCCACGTTGCCACAAGCAGCCCTGCACACTCTTCAGATGGGAAGGTGGCTTGCATCCAGCTGGGGACGGGCTAGGAAAAGCAGTGAATGCCCAAGCTCCCATCAACAGAAGGCTGCCTGGGAAAGGTCTAATGCCTGTGCTCTTTGTCAGACACAGGATAAGGAAGTGACACTGAGCAAATGCACAGCGATTTGAGCAAGCATTGCAGCGCTGGCACACCACAGACACCATAGATATGAACAGACAAGTTACAACCCCAGAATGGGTTATTAAAACAGGAGGAGAGCAGATGCCTTCAGATGTTACTGTTTTAACTAAATCTCACTTCATTATCTGTGACCAGCTTGGACAGCACAGGCAGAGAAATGCAAAAACCTAACTCAGGAGTTTTCAGTGAAATCTGCAGCCATTAAAGCAGAGGTAGCTCACTTTGAGTGGAAAAAACCTGATCCACTAAAACTCTCTTGGACTCTCAGGATGCAGCAAGATATCTAGAAGCAAAACGAGTTGGAACAACATAAGCAGTTACTGCCCTCCAGCTGGTGATAACTGACCTGCTAGTGGAAAGAGCTCAGTGTCAGCCAGGCTAGTTTAAAACCCTGGGGAAAGTGATCTGAGCTGACCTGGCTAACACTGCATGAATATGAATTAGGGAGCACTCACATGGTAAATGCTGGCAATGCAGTGTTAATACACAGGAGGGGAAAAAGGAGGAAACAGGCAATCGCTTCTTAAACCACACTGGCTGCTCCCCAAGTAATACAACAGGCCCCCAGAGAAAAGGGGCATGAGATACCAGAAGTTTGGGGCTGCAGCTAAAGAATTAACAACTGAGAGAACAGCACAAAATGCCATTTCAGAGCCACCACAAACGGCACGTTTGCAGCAAACATCCAGGCAGCAATCTACAAAGGAATCCCTCATCCTGCGGGGCAGCTTTGACATGCCTCTCCTTCCCATCCAGCTCCAGAACAAGGCTGGTGTTGACAGGCAGGACTGCCAAACCTAAAACTTTCTAGTGATTCCCGCTGTAGCACTGCTGCTGCTTATCTGTCATGACTCACATTAAAGAGACCATCTTCTCTGCATGGCCCATGCTCGACTGCTTTCTTTAGCACAGGTAAGTCTGCAGCATCCACTCTGCTCATTAGCATGTGCGAAAAACTACATTCCCAAGCACCAGTGAGTTAATAACTTGAGTCTGCAAAACTCTGCAGACCCAAAGGAGCATTAGAGACAGCTCAACACCCCCTCCAAATACCAAGCAGTACTGGCTTCCTTAATTGATGTAAACTAATCAGTACTTCCTCCCAACTCCTGCAGAACAGTGAGCGTTAAACTCCAATGTTTTACTATTCTTCCCTCAACACATCAGGAGGGAAAGAACAGTTTACTCAGAGCAGCTTCTTGACTGAGGATGGCAAAACACAAGCTCTGAAACACCAGTAGAATGTTTCCTGGAGAGGGAGGTGGTGGTTAAGATTCACTGTGCAGGGAGGGAATTAGTATGGGAACCCTCAGCATTTTTCACTGGGAAGGGCTGTGGATCTGAATGCAGCTCATCTGGATCAAGACAAAGCTTTTTGCCAGTCCAGAGCTTATTTAAATTTGCTTTTGGGAGCCCTCGCCAGCGTATCTGAGTACTTCCTTCTCAGAGAGGAGGAATCCACGAAGAGCAGAGTGAGTGCTCCCCTACTGTGAACAGAGACCCTCCTTTTTGCACCCAGTCAGGACAATTTTCTAACTCAAAGCACTTCAAAAGGAGACCAACATACCTCACTGCCTGCCCTACTCACATCGTCACTCTAAAAGGTCAGAATACTCTGCTAATGCGCAACATAAAGAACTGACTAACCAGCACCCTCCGTACTGTCCCAAGGTCCAGCCCAAAATAATTTGCTTAAAGCAATGTCACACTCCATGCAGCATCTTGTGTGTGCTTAGTGCGGGAAGCATCAACCAGCAGGAGGTACGTACGGCAGGTGTAAACATCTCTGTACTCCATGTGCTCGTAGTCGGGAAGGATTTTCATAAAACGCCCCGACTTCACTCGTGGATTTATACCTGAACAGACACAGCAGGGTAAGTACCAGCGAACTCCGCTCCACTGTAACCAGCACGTAACAGCACGATGAATCTGGATCAACCATGCAGGAAAGTCAAACTTTTGACTTTACTTCCAGTTGTGGTGCACCGTTTGTTTCCATCAGCCCCAGTCTCAGGTATACTTAGCAGGATTACTCACACAGAACTTGGCATGTTCAAGATTCCCACAGACAATATTTACAAATGGCATCCAGTGAATTCAAAGTGGAATCAGGGTCCCCCTCAAGCTCTGTAGTGTGACTGTAAAGAGCACCGTTGTCTCAGTAAGACCACTTAGGCCAAGTAACTACGTGCACGGTAGCCCAGGCCTTGGATTAGGTATGCTTTCTAGCACTTAAGCTCAGTTCCCCATTTCCCACACCCCTTCTTACAGAAGCACATTCAGTGGACAGAAAAGTGCATGTGAGTTCTGCCAGTAGCCCCAAATTAACTCTTCTACAATTAAAGAAGTTTATGGGACAGTAGAGAAAATGGGGTCACACCACCAGGAACCTGTTCCTCTAAGTGTTTGCAACAGGGCAAACTGTCGAATCTGAGCAGGAGGGCTAAGATGGTGCATCCCTGAAAGCCAGAAAACAGCTGCCAAGCATTCTGACTTCAGAGTAACCATTGCTAGTTAGGGTTGCTGAATGGATATGGACACAGTCCTTACTCTGAATGCAATAAAGTCTATCACAGAGGTGGTTCTCACACGTCACGTGCGACTCTTTGCCAATGGATGCTATGGATTCAGAAACTACTTCGGTGCAAAGGAAGACTGGAAACATACGTGTAAGACAGATCTATTGAGGGCTATTAAATCAATAAACCGCATTAGACTCTGGAAATCCCCCAACCTGAAAACAGTCAGAAGGTGGGAGAGTACTTAGGAAAGTATCGCATAGGCTTACCCTCTTCTCGGCCTTCCCTGGGTGACTGCTCACAGCCATGGCTGGGAGATACAGTACTGGGCTAGAGAGAGACCATTGTTCTGAGCCAGTAAGGCCATTTTTACATATAACTTGTGTATAAAAAAAAAAGCACAAAATATCACTTTAATATATCTGAACCATGGAACTATTGTAGTGAAAAAGACTACAGGTAAGAGATGTTCTGCCATTTAAGACTGGCAATGCAGAATTAAGATCCGATATGGTATGCGCTGTATGGCTGTTACCACACCAGTGCCATACACAGATACCGGATTGAATGGGAAGTAAGGGAGGCCTCACGTGCTAACAAGAATTCTCTGTGGACATCTAAGTGCTGGCTCAGTATCACTCAGCCCTTCCACCCAGAAAATTAGGCAGTTCCAGTCCTAGTGCACAAATAGGTCAAGAGGGACACTAGGTGATGAAATAATTTGCCCGTGGAAGCTCAGCAAGTCTATTACAGATGGGATTAAAACCTTTCTACCTGTTCTTTTTTCCAGTATTAAGATCAATGCTTGAGCTCATCACTGCTTCAAGGTTCAGCAAATACAGTACATGTAGAAGCTGAGCCAGATTTTGGATCTGCAAAGCCTACAGAGACCTCTCATGACTGTAACTTGGGACAATTACAGCTTTTGTTTCATAAAGCAGGACCTTATTTGAAGCCATAGTTCATGTACTGCAGGTTAAATCTTGTTCTTTATCCTACGGACCACAGGTAACTCCCTTACAAAATCTGTCGTGGGGAACCAAGACAACACAGCCTGACAATGCTGGTATGGGAGCTCTTGGGGGTTCACCAGGCTCTCTGAGCAACCAGCTCTGCTTCTGACTGCAAAGGGCAAGATTTGGTGTCGGGGAGACAGCCTCACCATGGACCCAGGCCTCCATTCCGTCCTTAGCCTACCTTGGTTTCTCTGTGATGATGCCCCCTGCCCCCTCCCCACTCTAAGACAGAAGATGTGCATCTACCTTGCAGAAGGCATAGTGGGTCTAAGAAGCTGGGGTCCCACTCCCACAGATGTTCCTAAAACACACCAACACCTCGGCAGAGGCCCAGTCCTGCCAGGGTCTCCTCCTTCAGCAGCCCAGAGGAACACTCATCCTTTACCTACAGCACTTTCCCACTGTCAGCGTGTAACTGCATCCTTTCACTGAGATCAAGACTTAGCTACATCAGGGCATAGGAAGCCTCCAGCTATGAAAAATATCAGTTAATTCCCCAGCAAGATCTAAAAATGGCAAAACAGGAAAGGATGAAAAACCCTCAACACACTTTATTATAAATTTAAAATACATGCTCTTGTCCTACCAAAGGATCAGGGGACATAGACATCCCAATTCTTGGCATCTGCTTAGAATTAAATAAAACCCCAAACATCAACTTCACAGATGAAACCCCTGCCATTAGAAGGTAAGTTTGAGTAACTTATACCGTCAAATTTTAATAAATATTCAACACGTACAAGCTTTCAAAATTGGTACTAAGCAAGGCCATACAGATCTGTATCAGCTTCATCACTTACGCTTGGCATAAACATCTCGACAGGATACTCCCGTGATCTCCAATTTCCGCAAGTTTTCACAGACGCCATATTCTGCAACGACACAGATAATAATGTCAATTCTGGCACAAAGGTGTTTGATACCCATGATCTGGATATCTACTGCTTGAGCAAAAATGAGATCTTATTAGGCGCATTCTTGCAAGCTGCCACTTAGTCCGAGAATCTCACTGCAGCTTTGAAGACAAAACAGAAAACTAGATGTAATTTCATTGCAGTTTGGGAATTGAACAGATTTTACAGCAATGTCTGCAACAAACACACCATAAGGAACACACAAACACAGCAAAATTACAGATGCTTACACCTAGACCAGAAAGAGTG